GTTTTAAAAAATAATGCAGGTGGCTAAGTAGGTTCTAATTTTTCTCCTTGGGTATAAGAAGCTCCTTGCAGAAGCTCAGATAAACCACACACTGCTCCACTATAACTAGTCAGCCACACAAGACCCTATTCTCTTTTCTTTTTCCTTACCAGAGAAAATTATGTAAGCTGTAGATCTTTGTAAAGTTCAGAAAATGAAACTTCACAGTTGTCTATTGTCTATATAGAAATTCTTCCACTTGGTAAAGTTCAGCACCTGCTCCATCCAAGCATCACCTTGCAGACTCAAGGGCAGTGTGACTGATCACCTGCTCCACAGAGAGATGATTTGAAGGCACTATTGAGTGTGTATTCTTTGTTATTAATAAAAAATTGAAATGCCTGACCTACACTTGCTAGGTGCCAGTTACACTACAACTAGTAACTGTACTAAAAACCTGGATTAAATGAATTATCTTTAAACCATCTTTGATTCCATTTTCCCTAAATCCTTAAGTGTATTTTTTCTAAGAGTATTTTTGAATGATATTTTAAGTATAAGGAAAGGAGTTGGATAATAGGACATTGATTACTAGATTTATATAGCGAGTAATTTATCCTAGAAAAGGCCAGTGCTCTGGAGAAACACAGAGATTTTTCACTCCTGGCTCCAATGTTTGTTAACCATGTAACTTTGGGCTCATTACTTAACCTCCTGGAGTCTCTTTGTTAAAAACACTGGATAATAATATCTACTTTACGTGTATGTCATGAGAATTAAAGAAAAATACAAGAACCAGAATATAAATGAAAGGAACTCAATAAATTGTGGGAAAACAATCATAATTGCTATGCTTAATATGATTAGAAAATGCCAAATAGAATTTCTAAAGCATGTGGATCTATTGAGTCAATGTGTGAAAGTTCAAATACAGATGCCATTCACTCAATGTTATTAGCTTTGCACCCCCTATGGCCAAGGTGCTGTGCAAAGTGTTGAAAATAAACCAGGGACCCAAACTAACAGGTTATCTGATCTTATGAGGCTTACAGACTTTTGGAATTTGGACAAAGGGACGATTGCATAGAATGTGGAATAGAAATTTAATGATATCTATAAAAATGTAGTTGAAGTTTTGGCCTGTCAGGGAGGAAATGATGAGAGGAAAGACTGGATAGTTCTAGAAAAACTTAAGATAGGGGTCAATGATGTGCAGAGCAAAAAATAATGTAGGGGAAATAAAAGTCTGAATTTAATAATCAAACATGGAGCAGTTCTGGGAACTGACAATGCCCAGGGTGGTTGTGGGAGTGGACACCTGAAACAGGGCAGAGCCGAGACCACTGGATGGATGAGATCATCCGTCGGAGGAAGTGCTGGTCCGGGTGAGCAGGATGATGTGACTTCATCACAGGGCTTCTGGATGAACAGGGTGGGAGTGGGGATGCTTTCGCTTCTCTGAAAGGAGTCAGCCAAAGCCAGATTGATTTCATGGTGAACTATATATAAGTGTGTCTGTCTGTATGGGTGTGTGTATTTACATATATATAGTAAGTATATGTGAATAATAATAACAGTAATAATAACAGTAATAACAAAATAGTAGTAATAAAGCATGTAAGATTTCTAAGTATTTATGTTTCAGCTACCACTCCAAGTACTATTTGTATAACTAATCTTCACAACAAATAAGAAATAGATATCATTATCCCAGGTAGGAGATGTCCCCAAGTTGACATAGGTAGGAAGTAATAAAGTAGGGGATTCTAACCCAGGCCGTCTGGCTCCAGAGCCATCTTGCTTTAAGCTCACATACACTACCTCTCGACGATACTTTGCTTTAACTGAGTGCTTACCACACGCCAGGCTCTGCTAAGCCCCTAATATTAATGTTATCATTTAACCGCTACAAAACTCTACTTTGGTTTGCTACATTTAGACAGATGCTGTAGCTTGTTCTTCCTTTCTGTTTGTTTTCTATTTTCCCCCATGGAGAATACTGTATTTTTTTTTTAAATTTTTATTTATTTTATTTTTTCCCCAAAGCCCCAGTAGATAGTTGTATGTCATAGCTGCACATCCTTCTAGCTGCTGTATGTGGGACGCGGCCTCAGCATGGCCGGAGAAGCGGTGTGTCGGTGCGCGCCCGGGATCCGAACCCCGGGCGGCCGGGAGCGGAGCGCGTGCACTTAACCGCTAACCCACGGGGCCGGCCCCCACGGAGGATACTTTTAAATGAGAAATTTCATGTAAAATTCCATATTTATGGTTTCTCTTGATTACATAAAAGATTGGCCACATTGAGCCCCCGCCCACACCACTTGCTAACAACTGGCAGGAGCTGCCTCCGGTATGTGGGCCTCGGGCCTCTCCCACCCACCATGATCCTCAGCGACGAAGTACATCTGACCTAATTTTTAAATCACTTATCTGATCACTGACCCTTAGTGTAAACATATCTGTGCAGTAAAAGTGGAGACTGTAGAGCTTAAAGGTTTAGATCACACGGCCCAGTTCAAAGCTCTAGTCCACACTTAATAAGCTCTTGTTTTCTTAATCTCTTCAAGCCTTGTTTTTATCAAATCTAAAATAGGGCTACTAATAGTACTTAACTCAGAGTGTTATGAAATAATTAAATGAGATAATGCATGAAAAGAATTAAGCTTGGAGTTCAATAATAATGTGTTATTGCTGTTTTTATTGAGAACAATTGGAAGTTAGTATAAACAGGTCACATCCACCGTCTAAAGCAATCAGGACTAGAGTATGGATCAGAACAGAAGAGCTGGGCCGGCCCCGTGGCTTAGCAGTTAAGTGCGCGAACTCCGCTGCTGGCGGCCCGGGTTCGGATCCCGGGCGCGCACCGATGCACCGCTGCTCCGGCCATGCTGGGGCTGCGTCCCACATAAAGCAACTAGAAGGATGTGCAACTATGACATACAACTATCTACTAGGGCTTTGGGGGGAAAATAAATAAAATTATTAAAAAAAAAAAAAAAAAAGAACAGAAGAGCTATTTATTGCATTGGAAAATGCTAGTGGCAGAGAGGAGAATCAGATGGAAGGAAAACTTCTGTGGGACTTTAGGACAGTACAACAAGTACTGTTGTACCCAGAAAAAGGTCCACTCCAACGGGTCAGGACAAACTGAGGCATCATTCACAGATTTGTCTTCCTAAGTGGACTTCCCAGTGTAGCTGAAATGTTGTATTATAGTGAAACATTGAATTATATATTTTTTTTCCTTTTTTTTTTGTGAGGAAGATTCGCTCTGAGCTAATGTCTGTTGCCAACCTTCCTCTTTTTTTTGGCCTGAGGAAGATTAGTCCTGAGCTAGCATCTCTGCCAGTCTTCTTCTATTTTGTATGTGGGTTGCTGCCACAGCGTGGCTGATGAGCAGTGTAGGTTGGAGCCCGAGATCTGAATACATGAACCAGGGCCCGCAAAGCGGGGCACACTGGACTTAACCACTACGCCACGGGATTGGCCCCTGAATTACATTTTGGAGTAATTCCACCATTCTCCCCAGGCATGAGGCAAGGATCCATGACTTCTCCTTTACTCAGTGCATCCTTCCAGTTCTTCCACAGAGCTCCATTATATCCATTCTATGGGACCACCACCCAAATCTAGGCCCTCGGCTCCTTACCCATGAACCATATGAATAGCTTATTAATTAACCTCTTTGCTTTCAATCTGTCACTAACTTCAATCCCAATGACAAACTGTTCCAACACTAATAAATAGTTCTAAAACATCATTTTGTACATTGCCTTTGTTTTTAACATTTTGCTGTGGCTCCCCATCGCCTGCAGGATAAAATCTAAATGCTCTACCCCATCACTGATGTGGTAATGGGGGTACTTTTCTACACTTCAGCTCCTAATCGCCCCCAAAGCTCTTTGCTCTTTTATACCTCCTTGGCTGTGCTCTCACCACCGCGCTGACCAGAATGCCTCCGCACCCCTATGCACATTCACATCCATGTCAAATTTAGCTAAATCCTACACAACCATCACACTGAAGCCATGAACTAGCTGTGTCTGTGCTTTATATCGGGGGTCAACAAACCTTTTGTCTAAAGGGCCAGAGAGCAAATACGTCAGGCTTTGCAGGCCATCCAGTCTGTGTCACAACTACTCAGCCCTGGCCTCAGGCATGAAAGCAGCATGGACAGTATGTACAGAAATGGGTGGGGCCACGTTTCAATAAAACTTTACTCTGGACACTGGAATGGGAACATCACATAATGTTCACGAGTCAAGCAATATTATTCTTCTGATGTTTCCCAACCACTTAAAAATGTAAAAGACATTCTTAGCTCATGGACTGTACAAAACCAAGCAGAGGTCGCAGCAGGTCAGAGTTTGCTGACCCCTGTTTTATATACATACTGTTTGTTGATGTACAACTTTCTTTTCCACTTTTTTTTTGTATGTGAGCCGCTGCCACAGCATGACCGCTGATGAGTGGTGTAGGTCCACGCCCTGGAACCAAACCCAGGCTGCCGAGGCAGAGTGTGCCAAACTTAACCACTAGGCCATGGGGCCGGCCCCTCCTTTTCATTTTTTTATGGAGGTATAACTTACATTTAGCAACCTTAAGTGCACCGATCTTAAGTCAACAGTCCAATGAATGTTGACATATGTATATACAACCACCATGTCACACACCAAGACATGAAACATTTCCAGTATCTTAGAAGGATCCTTTGCGACTGCTTCTAAAAGAACCTCCCACCAAAGCAGAACCTCCTTTGGTTATAAGCAGTCTCTCTCTACTTCCTTTCTATAGGTCCTAGCTAAAGAAATGGAGGCAATGGCCCGGTACCACCTAAGTTTTTACAGAGTAGTGCATTTTTAAATCAAACTTATCTCAGATACCGTTAACCATTACAACCACATAGAAGAATGTCGTTTATTTCCAACAATGAGTGATATCTGATTAAAACCTGGAAAGGCAACTCTGGAAATACACCTTCATTTTTCTGGGCAGTCTCTGCTGATGCTGCACCTCCTTACCTGGGCCAAGGTGAGTGTGGCTTGTTGGCAGGTGCTGCACCGCACTCTGAGTTTTCCTGGCTGCACTCTCTGACAGGGACCTTTGCAATAGACATAAAAGCTGTTGTAGGTTCGTCTCCCTGCTGGGGGAAAAAAAAAAGTAGAGGAAATAGCCAATCAATGCTGAATCCAAATTGAGATAAATTTTAAAACTAACTCCTCAGGAGCATTTTGAAACATTAGTGCGTTAAATATTCCAATGAGGATTCGACCATTTAATTTAGAAAATCTAGTTTTATGCTCAAAAGAGTGAAAATCTTTTCTTCTTCTTGCCAACAGCCCTGTGACTTACTCAGCAAAGTAAGTAACTTGCTGCCAAGAGAGCTGGCCAAGAGTATTTGCAAGGCAGGGAAATTAAGTGCACTCTTTGCTGAAGAAGTTTTTAAAAACGACGGGAACTGTAGAGACTATTGGAAATTTGGAGACCAGTGCTCCTGAATTCTATTTCATGCTTCTGTACACTGTTTTGAAGGCTCCAGATCTTTCCTTTTAAAATAGGGACATATCAGCCCATTTCTCCGGAAAGGAATGATATGGTCACAGTTTGCTGGGTTTTCAGTGAAGACTTGCCAACACACAGTCACACATAGAGTGGGACAAGAACCCTGAGGGGCTTAACAGAACCCGCGGCTGTGTGCAGAAATGGTGCTTTGCATCTCATTAGTGTTCTCTGCTTAGACAAATGCCGTTCAAATAACACATTTTCAAGAGTAAAAGCTGCACAAAAACACTAATTCAATAATTAAATATCTCTGATCATTTCTCTCGAATGTCACCATACAGGGACACGATTATTCTGTAAATTAGGGGAATCTTTCTGAATAGTTTCACACTTCCATTTCTGCAAAGAACTAACTTCATTCAGAAGCACTTACCAGTAGAATAACTACTTTTTCTAAATTTCTAAAATTACTAAATAGTTCTTTTCATCCTTAAGTTACTTCTTGCTGGGTGGAGGTTACATGAAAGGTCATGGCATAACATTTTTAAATTTTACTATTATCATCAAGAGCATCTAGAAATAATAAATACTAAGTGTTTTGTGATCATTATCACTGAAAACCTTCAGCCTCCCAAATACATATGGTTTATTAAAAACAGTTAGTATAGGGGCTAGCCTGGTGGCGTAGGGGTTAAGTTTGAGCACTCTGCTTCGGTGGCCCAGGGTTCGCGGGTACTGATCCCGGGCGCAGATCTACATACCACTCATTGAGCCACGCTGTAGCGGCTTGCCATGTACAAAAAGAGGAAGATTGGCACAGATGTTAGCTCAGGGCCAATCTTCCTCACCAAAAAAACCCAAAACAAAACAAAAAAACACTTGTATAAAAATAGTGAGAAAACAAAAAAAGATCCTAAAGTCTTATGCAGATCCATTTGTTTTACTAATTTACAAAAAGAGCCTCTATCGACATATTGGATTATCATTTGTTTAGCCATCTTTACTAATATTGTAGGTGACAACACTTTGTAAAATGTAAAGCACAATAATGTCAAATTTTATAATTATATCATTTATTGGCAATATATTTTATAATTATTACTTTCCAGAGAGTAATATTTAGCTTCCAGGGTGAAGGAAAGATAAAATATAAATATATTTTGCATTGATACAAAACTATTATAATCACTTTGTAGCTTTAGTGCCTTAACGTGCAAGATACTCAAGTCTATGAATATCACATTTTTATTAGCAAATATAATAATTACATAAAATATATTCTTAAGGTTTTATGTATATCATAAATGCAACAGAGAGAACCATATATTAAAGTTATAGAAATACCATAATAACTGATGGAATATCAGAAAATCACAAGAACTGTGACAATTTTAACGTGCACTAAGACGAGCTTAGTGAAGGACGTAGGAGACCTTACTGTTAAAACCTGTGTCAGCAATATGAACAAATCCAATTCACAATTTTTATAACCTACTGTAAAGGTTAAACAGTAAAAAAAAAGAAGGAGGAAGAAAAGAAATGGGAAAAGGGAAAGCTTACAAAGGGGACTCTGGGGTGCAGAGACACCAGCATTGTTGAAAGAGCGTATTAGCAACAGTTTTATAATAGTAAATGAAGCATCTCAGAACTCGCAGGAAACTAAATGACTCTTCTCTCTCGCTTAGGGCAACAGCAACATTTGCAATACTGTTTCAGCTAATGATATAGCCAGGTAGAACCTGAAGACCGGGACACCCTTCCACCTCTGTGTGCTACAACCTTCACTGAAGTCCTTGAGAAGTTAGTCAGAAAATACTGCACGCCAATGTCTGTGCCCTAGAAGCATCCAAGATGACATGCAATCTATTACACAGTGCTTCCCAGAGCCAGCCACAAGCTGGGGTTTAATAGCTAGTCTAAGGAAGATCAAGGTCAGGCCAGTCATGGCTACAACAAATTTCAAGCTGCTGGCTCTACTTGGTCAAGCAGGCGGCGCTTCAGGCAAATCCTGAGATGCCCTTCTCCGGATGGCTTCCCCACCTATTTGGCTACACAACGCTATTTAAAGTTGGCAAGCTTCTCTGTGTCACGCTGAGGTCTGGAGGGCACGGGACAGGAAGAAGAACAAACACACCCTGGTAATTGGGCCATGTTCCCAGTGGCCTGATGGAAGGGTCTAAGGTACAGACTCTGGAATATGGAGCCATAACTCCCAAAGGAACAGCAAGGATATATGAAGAATGACTCGAAAAACTTTTCTCTATGTGTATAACTGTCTCCAGCCAATAACATGAATCTTCCCACTTTTACTTCTGTTTGGATCTTAAAATCCTTTTTCTCTCCTAATTGGCTCTTCAATATGGCCATCCCTTCACTGCCCAAAATAAGCAAAGCAGCTTGTGTTGGTGTTTATAGATTTCCCTCTTTTTATGTAATACATTTTCAAACCTAGAGAAATATTTCAAAAATTTTATAAATCATATGTTTCACTGTAATTCACCAATTTGAACATTTTGCCATATTTTGAGTGCACCCTCTGCGTTTGTGTGTGTATACATATATGTATATACACATATACTACACATATGTGCTTTTTTGGACTGAATCATTTTCATGTACGCTGCAGACATCATGCTACTACACCCTTCAATCCTTCAACGTCCTAAAAATATGGACTTTTTTTACTAAAAAAATCAAGCTTTTTGAGTGATTTAGTTGTTCTATGCATAAACTAATCAAGTATACGGTAAGGATACCTTACAGATCACTACAGTGGTTTGCAAGCTGTTAAAAGTTGTCAAGCCAAAATACCGGGGATTCTTTAGTCAAATCATTTTAGGTGATGCTAAGTTAAGCCAAAGTAAGCAAGTCCTCTCACTGCAGGACTTTACAGACTCTATAAGACAGGAAGTACACAGCATAGCACATCCCCAACTTTATGTGACCTCAGAAGCCTTCCTTCTATGGAGCATCTTGTATAAGTGTACTTCTCAGAAAATATTTTGGAAAAAAAATTGGATGAAGGATTCAACCCACTGTGTAGGGCTTGAGCTACAGAAAATCAAATTGCTAATATTTATATACATGGCTTTATCAAACGCTCCTGAAGAACCTGCTGACAATTAAGTTTTTCCCTCCACCCCAACCCATCAATAAACTTATATAATGATTTCATCATGAGCCGGGAGGGTTAGTCTACTAATGTAATGATTTTATAAAGTAAAGTATATTCATTTCATTCAGATGTTCATTTTTTTTCTGGATTGAAGTTAAAAGCACAGTTAGTGTTCAGGGCCCGTCTAAAGTTTGAGTCACTGTGCTCATTCAAAGTATCCACTGAGTTTCCCTAACAATAAAATGTTATAATTATGTTTAGTTTTTCTCTACCACGTTGTCTAACATAATCCTTAGTCAAGTCTCCTCTTTTTCCCTTATTCTCTTTTCTTGGTCCAAAAAAATTGCTAAAAGCATTAACAATATTCACAACATATCAAGTAAAGCCCATATTTAAAAAGAATATATATTATTTGCTTTGGCTTTTTGAGAAGCCAGCAGAATGTGCACAGTTTCCATTTTTCTTTAATGTATTTTAGATAATGGGCTTATGACCGGAAGACGTTGTTTCAATCAGATAAGTGAATACTTAAGCAAAGTCATTCTTACTCAGATGAAAACTTATCATTGACCTCAGAAGTTTCCATCACTGGTTGTCACAGAGAATCAAGAATTTAATTGCTTGGATAATTTGTTTTCTAGGGTTAGGGAGAGAGTGAGATTTAACATATTTTATACCTAGGTAAAATAATATTCAGTATCAATATACTATAAAACAGCAGAAACACAATTGATTTAAAGTTACATTTGTCACATGAGCATATTAAAATATTAAGTATAGGGGGCCGGCCCTGTGGCTTAGTGGTTAAGTGCGTGCGCTCCACTACTGGTGGCCCGGGTTCGGATCCTGGGTGTGCACCGATGCACTGCTTGTCTGGCCATGCTGAGGTGGCGTCCCACACACAGCAACTAGAAGGATGTGCAACTATGACATACAACTATCTACTGGGGCTTTGGGGAGAAAAAGGGAAAAAAAGGAGGAGGATTGGCAATAGATGTTAGCTCAGGGCCGGTCTTCCTCAGCAAAAAGAGGACGATTGGCATGGATGTTAGCTCAGGGCTGATCTTCCTCACACAAAAAAAATAATAAATAAAATAAAATAAAATATTAAGTAGAACAAGCTGCCCAAGAGAACTTTCTGTGACCATGGAAATGTTCTACATCTGCACTCTATCCAGTAGCCACTAGCTACATGTGTCCATTGAGAATTTGGTGAGGAACTACTCTTTTTGTTTTTTTAAATTTCAAGTGATTTAAATTTACAGAACCGTATGTGGGTAGAAGCTACCACATTGGACAGCACAGAAAAAGAGAAGAAATAACACTGATGCGTCTCACCCCTCTCTCCTTGCCTCATCAGGCATGGAGATAACAATACTAGGGAGATTCTCTTGCCACCCTGAGCAGTACAATAGCCTGCGAAGTGCACTAATTTGAAAACAATGTTGGCTGAGAGAAGGAGAAAGGGGAAGGTTTGAACTGGAGGCACTGCGAGGTAGGACAGAGTTGGGTGGGGACTTGGGTAC